AGATTCTTTCATTGTTTTACAAACCCTCCCCCAGGTCCCCTCCACAATGTAGCCCTCGCTCTAGTCTCCTGTGATGACAGAAATACCTAGTTATATATCTTTTTTAAACAGTTTTCTCCCTCCTCTGTTTCAGTGCAGTATACATTATTGAACGCATCTTACTTCACCAGCAGATTTAAAAGCTCCTTCGATAAAGTTAGTATTCCCTGAGGATTCTGGTGCATATTTTTTTAAAGATCCTTGTCATTTTCTTATGTAACCAAGCTCTGCAACAGCTTGTTTTAAGGTTTCTAATCAAGCAGTTCAGCAATTAATTCAGTGACGTCAGGTCACGTGGACCGGTTTCTCCAGCATGTTGGCAGCTTCTGCCTCATGACTGCAAAACAGCTGCCACAGCTCCACCGTCAGCAGACAGCCTCCACAGTAGGATGGGCGAATCTCTTCAGGTGTATCGATATTTTGGTTATGAGCAAAATTTTTAACCACAAGTGTTTCTCTCATTTAGGGTTTAAGTTTGCACTAACTGTGGGTGGGGAATTTTCGAACCAGATAATTGATATTGTTTGGGAGGATTAATGCAAAATGAAGAGACAGAGCCTATTATGGAATGTTGTTGTTGTTGTTATGTGCCATTTAGTCAAATCCCATGGGTTTTCCGAGGCAATAAATCACGCAGGAGGAGATGGTCCCCCTTTCTGCCACAGAGTAACTGGTGGATCCAAGCCACGTGTCTTTGGGATGGCAGCACAACTCCTACCACTGCGAATTTAAAGACAGCAATGGAGAAGAGCTAAACCACGAACATAAAACCTTTGCCAGCACTGGGTTCAGTGAGGCTGGACAGAGTGCACACCCTCGAAGCCAGCCCTGTCTGTGAACCACGGAAATGAGTTCCAGGCTGTCCTTGGCAGAAGCAAAGACAGGACGGCTTGGTCGGAACACGGCATCTCACCTGGCTGCCCGCGCTGCCTGAAGGCCAAGTACCTTTGCACACAGACCTGAGGTCCAGAACACAATCTCAGCAGCTCAGCTCAGTTGCCCTCGAGTCAGAACCAACTCCCGGCTGCCCTGCAGCGGCTTTTCAGGGGCTGTAACGACCCGGAAGGAATAGCCGTCCCCTGGGGAGCAGCGCGTGGATTGGATTCGTCCTTGGTTTGGCACTAGGAATGCCTGAGAGTCAGTAGATACAACAGTAAGAGTCGTAGGCCAGGTCTCTCCAGAAAGTGATCAGTTCAACTTCTAAGAAGCTTCTCGTGTTTCATTCCAATGGTTCACTCACAAATCACCCAACATCCATTATGGACCCCCGACAACATGGCCAATAGGATGATCAATTCTGTGGTAGGATCAAGAAAGACACAAGAGTGGCTGGGTGGGGAAGTCGGAAGGGAGGGCTGGTCTTACGCCGTCTGTGGGCCTGGCCATGCGTCACAGTCTTCCCGACCCTGGTGGGCTATGAAGCTGCCCCCGGGCGGGCAGTCCTGTGCCCCTGCCTGTCATCCCGGCCAGGAGGGTCTCCTCCAGCTGTACTGACGGACGTTCTCGCCCTCCCAGCACCTGCACCACATCAGCAGGAAGCAGATCCACTTTGGCAGCCCTCAGCACCTATGCTTCGATGTCAGCGGCGAGCTGGTGACCCTTCAGAACTGCACCGAGGGAGAGGTCGGCCGGCAGCACTGGGACGTCCAGGAGGTGAGTGAGGCGGGCACGAAGGGCTCAGAACCCTGGTCCCCCGCTGCCTCCCAGTGCCTCCTTGACAAGCGGCCAGAGCTCGCCCTCCGAACTCCTGTCATCAAACACATGCCTTTACACAGAGGACGATCAAATAAACCACCTTTTTTTTTTCTCTTTTAATGTAAATTCTCCCTTGAGCATTTTATCATTTTAGTGAAGCTTTGATTCTTATTACTCTCTGGAGGAAAGGGCTATGTATGTATCATTAGAGAAGAAATAGTGTTATAAAGTCACTCTCTTAACCTGTCTTTCTTCTTTCCCAGTTGCAAGCTTGCTTTTTCTTTAATTGATTTGCTTCAAAGTTTGTATACATTGTGTTTCACACTATTCTTTATTCACGTTGTGTTTCATACAATCATTTTCATGCATTATGTTTTATAAATCATCATAGGACCTTCACCATTACTACCCTGTCTTTTTGCCCAGATCCTTCCCATTTCCTTCCTCCTCCCTCCTCCCAGCAAACTGCAACCCTGAGGTTTCGACCCTACTGACTCTTAGGCCTCCCCCGCTTGAGTTCCTGTACATGTTTTACTAGTTTTCCTTCTATTTATACAATAATGGTCTTATGCGGTACTTGTCCTTACAAGACTGCTTGTTCAGGGTCTCCAAATTTTAGGGCTAACCAAATTATTTTCCGTGTTAACCAAAATACTATTTTTTTTTAGCAGGCCAGTTCATTCTATCGTTGTTATTCTTTGCCTCTTATGGGGGATGGAGATATCTATCTATCTCTATCAATATCTATCTATCAATATCTATCTATCTATCTATCTATCTATCTATCTATCTATCTATCTATCTATCTATCTATCTATCTATCTA